CTTTGCTGCCGCCGATGCTGTTGCAGGTAGTCCCACCATAAAGATCACACTGAAGTTTTACAAATTGTTAGCCATGCAAGCGTGGATTATAGGTCGAAGATGAAGCAGGAACATTTTCTCATCCGCGCAGTAATTTAATGTTACAGATCATTGACATCGCTTGAAGAGAAATATATATATATATATATAAATATGCGAACTAATAATTCACGGTTATATATATTTATATATTTACACGAACCGCGCATGAAAATATTGGTGTGTTTTATATGTAATATGAGAACTTAGCCATAGGCAACATCATGTTTTCTGTGGCGAAAGAGGGAGAGAGGGATTGAGTGCGTTTATAAGTGCACACTGGTGTGTATTTATATTTCCAAGCTCAACATAAGAAGGGTCGTATATTTTTTATATAGACTCTGGATCTAGGAGGGACGGTGTGTAGGTTCTGTTCCGAGTTCTTGCCGCCTGGAAAGGTCACCTTAGAAGCGATTGCTTTAACATACCACATTGGCTGTATGTGTGCTAAATTTAACCTGCCGCATGCTATAAGACTAGACCAGATATTTGGCTCACCTGTTCCAGTGAGTCTGGCAGATAGTCTGCTGGAGTGGCATGGAGAGCCATAAGTCAAGCAGGCAAGAAGACCGGTTTGAGGGCTCTGTTTTTTTTTTCCTTCTTTAATAAAATATTAATCATGGCAGAACTTTCACAAGAAAATTGAAACAAATAACAGTGAAAGAATCAGGTTGATTACTTTGAGTTTTTTAATTAGGCAGTCATCACATGCCGTCTTCACAATGAAGGTAGACTGTAATGATCTCCCAACTGCTCTCTGCACTCTGTGAGATTGCTACTCATCCATCTTGTGATGTTATCCTATATGTTGTCTGGTGTGTCCTTCTATGTTTCTACTTCTTTCTATGAGTGCCAATCAAAAAAATATTTGTTTACTATTATATATTTAATACATTGTTTGATGTTATCCTGCCACTTGTATCGCCGTGTTAGTCTTGTTCCATAATCTGAGCGTTGCCTGTCTGGTTCTGGCTGTTTTATGCCCTACAAAAGGGCGCGGGAACCCACACGGGGAGAATCTGTTAGTGCTTTGACAAAAAGGCACAGGGTAGACAGAAGTGAAGAGGTCATGGACAACCGAGTAGTATGGTCGTTGTGATTGCGTTATAGGCGTCACGTGATGCGATTTAGTGAAATGGGTACCAGGTGAATTGTTTTTTTTAGAAGCTTTCCCCCTCCGTTTGCTCCCTGGCACAGCTGGACTTTTTTTTTTTAAAAATGACCTCGACTCCCAGGTCGACCCAGCCTTGAGTAGGAACCGGATGCAGTCCTTGGAAGTAAAGGCGGCCGGCGTGATGCTGACTACATCACCCATCTTGTGCTGATTGGTCTAATAAAATATAGGTCTTACCCTCTATGCCCTATACGCCTAAAGGCGTGGAAAAGGGACCTTTACTTTACTACTTACTTTCCCCCTCCAGTATTGCAGTCTTAAGTATTACCATCTCAAAGATGAGACTCAAACAGATACAAATCCCAGAAACACCATTCAGCTGTATAACCATGGCACAGTTATGGTCACATGTAACAGTTACGAAATAACATGTAGTCCAGTGTGGGTGGGTGTTGTCTAGTCATGTTCTAAATAAAGAATAAGAAAACTTTCAACACCAAGAGGCTTGTATGACATGTTACAAAAAAGAAAAAATGAAGACAAAAAATGCCTCAACCCCTTTACACATTTTTATAATGAAAAGTTAATAGGGTGGGATAAACGGGGCATAACCTTGTTTAAGTGCATAATAATAACAACAGGTTGAATGGCAAATACAATGATACCTTGGGTCACGAAATTGGTTCATGCTTAGACTCTGTTCGCGAACTGAAATGTTCGCAAGCCGAAACAGTTTTTCCCATTGAAATCAATGTAAATCCAATTAATCCATTTGTCTGCCCCAGAAACCTATTGTATTAAAAAAAAAAATTGATTTATGTATTACAAAAATATATAATTTAAAATTTGCAGTATGATTGTAGCTTTGTGGTTGATAGTTGCTGGCACATGGCACAGGTAGGTAGTAGAGGAGAAGGAGATTTGTGGATGATAGTTGCTGGCACAGGTAGATGGTAGAGGAGAAGGAGATTTGTGGATGATAGTTGCTGGCACAGGTAGATGGTAGAGGAGGAGGTGATTTGTTGTTGATAGTTATTGGCACTGGTAGATGGTAGAGGAGGAGGTGATTTGTGGTTGATAGTTGCTGATATGATAAACAAATCCATCACTGAAGCCACGTGAGAAGCACAAGACAAAACACAAAACCACAGCACTGAGCTACAACCTGGAATCAAATAAGAAGAAGTTGCTGGCAAAAGAAGATGGTAGAGTAGGGTTAGATTAGTGGTTGATAGTTGCTGGCACAGGAAGAGGGTAAAAGAGGGGGAGATTTGTGTTTGAAAGTTGATCGTGGGTCACCTGGGCAACTGCCCAGTGGGCCCATAGGCTGAGATGGCCCTGAGACTACTCCTTCAGAGGCGAGTCCTATTCCATTATAACATCAGGTATCTGTGAAGGTATTTCTGATATTTAGTCTCTCTCTTGTTTGTATCCTGGGAAGTGGTTGGATTGCTGGCTCGGTGGCTGCAAATTGTAGTCCACTTGCCGAATATACCACTAAATGCCAACTCTCGATTTAAAGTCTGCGGAGTGAAAAAACTGAACTGCTGAGACTCAGCACTAGACGAAGAAATTTTCCAGTAGCTTAGATGGGCAACATCTCCTGTGGGTGGTTTCTCGCGGTAAAATCCTGTCTTCGCACATCCCCTGTCAACCCTCAATGTCTTCATCACCGCAGTGAGGTACATCACGACAGCCATTGCTAGTCTGCTGGTTAGGCTCAGATGTCCGACAAATACATGTCCTATAGCACATTAGCAAAGTCTCAATGTCTTCATCACCGCAGTGAGGTGCACCACAACAGCCATTGCCAGTCTGCTGGTTAGGCTCAGATGTCTGACAAATACATGTCCTATAGCACACTAGCAAAGTCTCAGTGTCCTACCGCCACAAATGCTAAAGTCATTCCAGAGCAGCTACTGTCACTGGGGTCTGAAGTATTAGTTAAGCTTTTTTATATTCCATACCACAAGTAAGGTGGAAAAAACTGGAAAAGATATGATGGCAGACATTTGACAGCCTTATAAAGTCAGGAGAATCATGTGGGAATTACTTTGCACTTCAAACTCCTCTGTGATAATATATGATCCATGTTGATTTTTTAAAATAATATATGATCGATGCTGATTTGTTTTATAATATATGATCCATGTAGATTTGTTTTATAGTATATGATCCATGTTGATTTTTTGTTATTAAAATCTTCCTTCTATGTTTTTGAATTTGAATATGAAATATATTTCATATCTAATCTCCAGTTCTGTTAACTTTTCTGTTTCAGTCATCGGTGTTGCTTCCTTGATACATCAGTTGAAACCAGACTGTTGTAGTCAAGACTGAACTTGAGGTGTACAGGACAGCATTTAGTTTATCAGCTGATCTGTGCCCCTGGCTTGGGGTTGCAGGTGAGAGGTTTCATGTTTCATGGACAAACAGTCCTTGCACATTGTAAATTGCCCTCGTTTCCAGAGCTGCCTAATTGTCTACTCATGGTGAAACAATGTTTTAACATCTCACATTGTAGTTTGGCCTCTCACATTGTAGTTTGGCCTCTCACATTGTAGTTTGACAAAAGTGGATATGTGCATCCACTTCTTCAGTATTACGTGGTGAGGCCCCAGCCTCTTCCATGGTTTGACTGTTGTACTACTGTCCAGAAGCCACGAGAATGATCCGTTTCTAAACTGACCACTGCAGAAATTGAACTACTCTTTCCCCAAGTGGGTTTCAGTGCCCCATTTGTGAGGAGGGGGGGGGGGGAATATAATAGACCCACCTCTCCCTCTTTCCTCCAACCAACAGGCGTGTTGGGGTGTTGCCTCCAAAGTCAGAGTGCATCTTCCTGAGATACAAGGAAGCATCAGTCTGCATACCCGGAGAAGGAAAGCTTGATAATTAACAGTCAGCCATAGAGTGGCAACTTGTCTGAGTGAGTAACATTCAACCCCACCAGGACCGCATGATGAGCGACCAACACCTTGTGACACAAAGTGCCACTTAGATTAGGATCACACGGACATATATCCCAGAAAGTTTGTTAAGCCATTAGGTTATATTTAGGGCTGCAGACTACAGCCAGGGTGGGGCTTTAAAATTAAAATATCCGGTATAAACAGAGCTAGAAACATGTTCCACAGGAGGCGAAAAACGGGAACTTTAATGTTTACTGGCATTGGTAGAAAACATCCTAGGAAAATCATTGTGAATACAAGGACACAATGTGTAAATATAATATTCTTCTGCCTTCTGTCCCACAGTGAATCATAGGCCCTCAACCAACTCTTGCCAAATTGTTCTATCCTTCACTATTGCATGCAGCTTAATCCATATCCTCCCCATCTTTTTAACTTCACTGTCTAGGTTCCCTTTCCATGTGTTTTTTGGTCTGCCTTTATTTCTTTGCCCCTTTGGGTCCAGTGCAAAGACATTCTAGTTATATGTTATAGATTTTCTCAACATGTGTCCTATTCAACGAAAACCTATTTTTTGACTTCTTGGTCCACTCGAACTTGTTTAGTTCACTTCTAAAACTCAACATTAGCTATTCTATCCATCCATTTAATCCCCTCTATTCTGTGCAGGCACCAGTTAATGAATGTTTGTAGTTTATTAGTAATTGGTTTAGTTGCTGCCCATGTTTTTGCACCGTACAGCTGTACTGATATGTCATTAGAGTAAATTATTTTTAAATATTTAAAAAAAATATATAAATTCCATTTGTTTCTAGAGTGTGCGTCAGACTGCACGATTCCCTTTAATTATTACTCTCTCACTTTTGTTTTTGAATTGTAAACAGGCAGCCATAACAATGCCTGCAGAAACAACTCATCATGTGGGTGGGACCAAACATTTCGAGTGTCGGGTGAAAGGTCACCCTCGACCAGAGATTCGTTGGTACAAAGATGGGAAGGAGATCACTCACATCTCCAGATATCAGTTTGATCACTCCCATGAGGGCCTTGTTTCTATGGTGATACCAAACATCTCGCATGATGACGAAGGCAATTACAGGTACTGCGGTAGTCATTTGCTGATGAACATGCTTACTAATTATATTAATGTTATCATATTACATACTCCTCGTGTAAGTTCAGAAAGGGGGGGGGGTGGGGTGGGGGGGGGGATAGACCCACTGCCCCAATAACAAGCATGTTGTTAAAGGCGACTAATTAGGGGTGTTTTCTTTGAAGTCGGAGTGCATCTGCCTGAGAGGCAAGGCAAGGTGCCAGCAGTTTGCATTCAAATAAACCTGATCTGTAAACAGATGTGCATGCAGAACTCAAGTCCTGGATCAAGACTAAAGTCCAGGGGTGGACGAACAACCAGAACTTTCTGCCGGAGTTTACAGCCAGTGAACGCTAAAATGAAGAAGTTATGCATACTGTCAGAGTATGTATGTATATGTATATGTTTGCGTGCACATGCATGCTTGTGGGCATGTCATTTTTTTTTCTGACTGTAAATATAATATGAGCCAAGGTGACATAGTAGTTGTGTACTCACCTACTAGCTAAGTAGTCATGTGTTCAAATCTCCCTTGGGATGGATTGTTACATGGTCGCCCCCAGGTGGCTTCTTGGGTCCCATTTTGTGGGACAAAATAAGAGACCAACTACCCTCCTAACAAGCATGTCCTCAAAGGCTACTAATAAGAGATTTGCTGAAATCAGATGTGTTGGACAGAATATCTCAGATATCACAACCCTGCTGTAAAATCACAATTTTAGGCTGTAAGTATACAAACTGGTCAGCAGGCACTGCAGAATCAGAAGTTCAACAAATAATTAATGATAGTTTCTGCCTAAGTGATGCAATTACCTCTTTTTTGAGATTTTGCAACAAAGCTTACAACAACATCTTTCCCATGTTGGTTCCGGGGCCCTATTTTGAGGAAATCAAGAATAGACCCACTGCCCACCCAACAAGCATGTCGTAGGAGTCGACTAATTGGGGGTTTCCTTCGAAGTTAGAGTGCATCTGCCCAAGCAGCAAGGAAAAAAAAAACTGCACACAAATTAGTCAGTAAAATGGATATAGATGCAAAACTAAATCTCTGGCACAAGGCCAAAGTCCAAATGGATGAACAACCAGGACTTTCCACCAGAGCTTACAACAAAGAAGAAGAAGGTCAACAACATCTACTTTGAAAATGGAGTTGGATGCGGTACACATATATAGTGATTGTAACTGACTCACAGAGCATGTTGAGAAAGTTGGAGATAGGTATGGTCATTGCAAAGTGGCAAGCATCACTTCAGAAGTTCCAGGTAGTTAGAGTTCTTTATATATTTTCTCCAGGGAATACCAGTGTGTTAAGAAATAAGCAGGCAGACAGATTTGTTGGTTCTGCACTTTGTTGTAAATTGATGCATAAACAAGCTTGATGTTGTAAAGACCTTTTGGAAGCTAGTAAACAGTGTGGAAGCATAAATAGATCATTACAGTCTGAAGAAAATTAAGCAGGGAACACACAGTCAGACTTCCCCGTGTGGGTTCCGGGGTCCCATTGTGGGGAAAACAAGAATAGATCAACTGCCTACCCAAAAGCATGTAATAAGAGTCGACTAATTGGGAAGCTTCCTTTGAAGTCGGAGTGCATCTGCCTGAGAGGCGAGGAACCAACAGTTTGCATTCAAGTGAATCAGATCTGTAAAACTGATGCACACACAACACTCAGGTTCTGGAGCATGCTGCAGTTCACAAGTGGACGAAGAACCAGAACTTTCCACCAGAGTATGCAGCTTGTGAACGTGAAGAAGAAGAAGAGTCAGACTGCTGCTGATACCATCAGAATTGGAAATCTGCGCTTGCTGTCGTAGATAGGGATGGGACACTTATAATAATGTCCCAAGTGCTATGAAATTTTTTCGTAATTCAGAAATCATAACTCACTTGCCACTCACCTTTTTAAGGGCAAAGGAGAAGAAAAAGAAAAAAAGTTAATGACCATGTGGATATAGCATTCACTGGACCTCACAGATAGGGAAGAATATTGTATTGATTGTATGGTAGCCACATTGGTATAGTATGCATCCAGTAGGTGTTGCGTGGTTAAGAAAAGTTAAGCCTAGCATGTCTGATTACAGAAACCCTTAAATATTCACAGGATTGTTAAGGGACAAAGCAAAAAAATTGAAATTTATATAATTTATACACAACACACGTGACAAACTGACTTTCTACCCCACTAGAACATCACATAAGTAATAAACACCTGATGACACAAAGTGCCACCATGTGGATGAGGATCACTGTAAAGAGGTCCCAGAAACCACATTCAGACAATTGGCCACATTTATGGCCTGCCTATATTGCGGCCCCTGGCAAAAGCCAGGGTGGAGCTTCCAAGAACAAAAAATTTCATCCTAAAAAGGACGTAAGAACACATGACAAACTGAATATTGTAACATTATATGCATCTGTATTATAAATCACAAACCCTTTCTATATTTCATATGTCTGTTATAAATAAAATGTTAACTCCTCCCAAACTGTGGCCAAAACATATGTTGAATTTTAATTTGCCATTGTGTCTACAATGTTTAATTTAGTGGTCACATTGGTGGCCCAGGTTATTGCACATTTCTTTATTTATTGCAACAGTTAGTAAAAGTAAACTTTTGCTGGAGTTTCATCCCTTTGAATATCTTTTACCTATGTTGAAAAGGTAATTAAAAAAAAAATTATATTTTGCAGTTATCTTCCTTGAAACCACATAATTATATGTGTCTGAGACAACACATTTGTCAATCTCCCAAATTGTCAAATACTGTTGTTAGTATTACAGGGTGAACTTAGAGGCAGCGACTAAAAATACGGCAGCGATGGTGACAAAGATGAATTAAAAGATGAGATATTAAATATAGACTTTTAAGTGGACCCCCTATTTCCACTAAGCTTACATAAAGTGGAGACCAAGATGTGGTAGAGGACAGGAGAATAAGACTGTCTTTCACTATGCCGGGCAAAGCTGGGCAGTTAAATCTAGTATTATTTAAAACTTAAGAAGATTGACACAGTACACATGTAAAACTGTTAATATTCTTGTGGGCCATATAGTGTTTCTCACCTAGTCTGAATCACCTACATATTTAGAATTCACCAGCTATGCATGGAGAAAATAGTATGTTAATGATATTAGATTGAGAATTAAAAATTTTGTCTGGTCTCCTGAAACACCTTATTCACCATCCTTTTTAGGATGAAATTTTTAGTTATTTTAAGCCCCACCCTGGCTCTTGCCAGGGGCCGCAATACAGCCAGGCCATAAATATGGCCTAATGGCTTAGCACGGTTTCTGGGACCTCTCCACGGTGATCCTCACCCACATGGTGGCACATTGTGTCATCGGGTGTTTATCACTTGTGTGATGTCCTGGTGAGGTAGAAAGTCAGTCAGTCAGTCAGTCAAGTTTTGTCCTGTTTTCTGTGCTTTTGAGTCTTAAATCAGTAATCAGTGTTGAAACCTTGAGTTGTGTTTATTTCTACAGGTGTCGGGCAGAGAACTCTGAAGGTTTTGCATCAACATCAGCCTATCTGTTTGTGAAAGGTTTGTAGCTTGTGCATTGTAACACTGGTACCTACACTATTATTGTCACGGTATAATCTGTGTGTTGATCTTCTTTACATTTCTTATGCTGTAAATGTATGATGCCTCAAGAGTTGGCTTCTACAAGTCTTCTTCTTTGTTTACTGGCTGTAAGGGTAACATCCCATAGCCAGTTCTGTCCTATATTCAGCAACGGGTTTACATATATGGTACTCATAAACTATATTATACATACCCATGCTCAAAAGGATTCTTCTAGGATGCATAATTGATCTCTAGAAATAGACAGATCTACAGCACAAAAGCAGTAAGCGTGTGTCTTCTCTGAAAGCTCAGTAAAGAATAAATTCGACCCAAGTGTCTCTCCCGAAAAAGCAGGAGGAGATTCATTGGGGTCTAAGCGGTAATTCTGCCATTGGAATTTTGGCTTCATTAATAATGAATCTCTCACCTGTAAGGTTGAATTTGAAAATATAAGGTTACCAAGACAATTAGGCCATTTTGGAGTACTTAACTCGACATAATGACACCTAATTACAAAAGATGGACTATTTACGTATAGAGGCAAGTCCACTTTAATAAAACTTAGCCTCATCTGCATAAAGGTGACAGGAACTAGACGAGTCTAAGACGAAAGGGGTGTGGGCTGTTACGTGACAGTAAGCTCCGGCAACAACTTGGACTTTAGCTTTGTGCCAGGACCTGAGTTTTACATCTACATCTGTTTTACTTGCTAATTTATGGGCAGTTGGGTTGTTCCTTGCAGCTCGGGCAGATGCACTTCGACTTTGAAGTATGTCCCCATTTAGTCAACTCCTATGACATGACTGCTGGGAATACAAAGGGTCTATGCTTTTTTCATCATACTGGGGCCCTGGAACCCACACAATGAACTTCCACAAGTGATATTGAGTTGTAATGGAGATATGCCAGCTGCTGGTTTATTTAGACCAATTCATTGTGACTATGTGACCCAGAGGTTAGTGAATGTGTTTGACAACCCTTGATACACCAGGGTTAGATTTCTGCAGCATCTAGGTTCATGGCTAGAATTTTGGGGGGAAGAATAGACCTACTCTACACTAACAAGCAGGTTATAGGAGGCAAATAATTAGTGATTTTTGATTAGAAAGGATTATCATCACAGCACTCCGGACAGATCTATAGGTTCTCCGATCTCCTCCTTAAAAGCTTCACAAGCATAGAACAACTAATGATGCCTGTTCAGATAATTAGGGATGTTTCCTGTGAAGGCAGAGTGTATCTACCTGAGAGGCAAGGAACCACCAGTCTGCATACAAATAAGCCAGATCTGTGAAATGAATGTGCGTGCAAAAGTCGAGTTCTGAAACAAGACCAAAGTCCAGAAATAAACAACCAGATCTTCCCTCCAGTTTTCAGCTGATGCCTGATGAAAAGAAGAAGATTGCTTGCATAAAGTGGTATGAGAATCACACAGTGGAGTAGATTATCTCTCACCACATGATCTTCTTAGAGACAGGAGTGAATGCATATATGACGGAGATTTGTCATATCCTCTGTTAATGTCACCTATAATAACTGTTCTCTTTTCTGTTAATGCTCTCAACTATTTATCATTTTCTTGTTTATTCTTGTTGCATCTCTCACATGTCATATACACAAAGCATGACCTGTCCTGTCTTAATCCAGGTCACAAAGAACATCCTGAGGACCCAACAACCTCAGTCCATGCCATGCAGATTGAGGAAGCCGTCCTCTACTCAGACCAGGAAAAAGCTGCCAGGAAGGCGACCAAAGTGAAGTCCTCTGGTGAGTTTGGATGATCTTCTTCATCTTCTTCTTCTCCTTTTTCTTTTTCTTCTTCATCATCATTGTGAATGTTTTTTGTCTTTGTTTCTAGAATATATTTTTTAAACAGCATAGAAAATGTTTTTTAAACAGCATAGAAAATGTTTTTTAAACAGCATAGAAAATGTTTTTTAAACAGCATAGAAAATGTTTTTTAAACAGCATAGAAAATGTTTTTTAAACAGCATAGAAAATGTTTTTTAAACAGCATAGAAAATGTTTTTTAAACAGCATAGAAAATGTTTTTTAAACAGCATAGAAAATGTTTTTTAAACAGCATAGAAAATGTTTTTTAAACAGCATAGAAAATGTTTTTTAAACAGCATAGAAAATGTTTTTTAAACAGCATAGAAAATGTTTTTAAACAGCATAGAAAATGTTTTTTAAACAGCATAGAAAATGTTTTTTAAACAGCATAGAAAATGTTTTTTAAACAGCATAGAAAATGTTTTTTAAACAGCATAGAAAATGTTTTTTAAACAGCATAGAAAATGTTTTTTAAACAGCATAATCAAACAATAGCAGTTTGTTAGTTGTCACAGAACTGGTGGTGTGCCTTATATAGTAATGCATGCGTACATGCTGGTTTGTCTTGTCTGCTGTTCTTCAAGTATGAAGAGCAATTCTACTGACAGACTGTAAGTGTTAGCAGCTCTGTCAGATGCCTTATAGATTTGATGAGCTTTTGGGTTTTGTGAATGTGGTGTCTGAAGTCAGTTCTTTTTGTGTTGACCCAGCTTTAAAAATGGGGACCAGGCAAATTGTCAGAATTCTATTCCAAGCGAAGACAATGAGGAATGGAACTAGCCATCAATCTCATACTGATCCTAAAATACTTAAAGGGCTAAGAACTCACCGCTTAACATCAATACCTACCCTGGGACTACTTTATCATTTTTTGTAGCCGTGATAAATTGTTTTTAAAATGAAAATCTTAATTCTATGCAAAATATGTTTATCTGTCAGTCAAGGGTGGGTTTATATGTATGGAGATGTGCGGACACATTCATGTATGTCTAAATTGGACACACCTGCAAGCGGTGAAGTAGTTAAGCCCTTTGCCTTGAGTTTGAAGATTCATACAAGTTTAGGTTTAGGGTTCATTCTTCATTCTATGTTCAAACCCTTTGAAATATACCTCTTTCTGTATATGTTGAGTTATAGAGATAGTATTCTATTGCTGCAAGTATTGTTTTTGTGTGATGCAATATTGCGTTAGCATTAATTGATGTGAGTATGGTGGTCAATATTTTTGCCTCTTTTTTATGTTTTCAGAGTCACATTTAATAGAGGAAGTCAATGGAGATTACCAGAAAAAGAGGAAGCTGGTTCTTGAAGTAGAGGAGGTTGTCCAAAAGTCATCCAAAGTTTCTACCACAACCACTACCACCACTAAAACCTCCTCTTTAAGCAAGAAGTCAGACAAGGACAGTCCTGAGGAAGAATCCACTAAAACCTCCTCTTTAAGCAAGAAGTCAGACAAGGACAGTCCTGAGGAAGAATCCACTAAAATCAGTGTTGACATGCTGGAGAAATCCTACCATTCATCAGATGAGTCTGCAGACGATGCTGAATCAGTGCGGCTAAGGACCATCAGTGAGAAATCAGACACATCTGTGAAAGAAACCCCCGAGGACTTCTTCAGTGGTAATGGAAGCTCACTTCTTATGAGGCAGACCAAGCGTCTGTTTTCGCATGATTATGGTGAAGAAAATGATCTCTTCCAGATGGAGGCATCTTCAATGATGGAGACATCTTCTGTAAAGACTTCTGTCTCAACCTCTAAAACAACAGTGTCAACAAGTGGATCTGTGGTGGAAGAATTGTCCTCCACCAGTACTAGGTCAGTCTCAGAGAAGGCAAGTTCGGAGTCAGGAGAGTTAAATGAATTACCAGACGTGGTAAGATTGTCTTCAGTATCTACAACTGCCAACACTTCTACCACTTTCGTAGAAGACGGGGAAGTATCAGCAGAGAAAGGTAAATTGTCAACCACTTCTCAAACTAGGTCTGCAGCATCGGAAGTGTCTGCAGTAGAAAGTAGCGCATCTCGGTCCATTACACAGGTCAGTGAAAACATTCACGTTACTGTTGAGGAAACCAGCACTGAGAGTAGATCATCTAGAGGTTTGTTGGAACAAACGGAAACCTCCACTGTTTCTGAAGGGGGATCCAGCAGGTCTCTTAGGGAAGCATCTGAATATGATAGCACTTCCTTGACTCATTATGATAGTGGCTTTCTAGATTCTTCTAAATCTGACGACTTCCAGAGACTGTCCTTTACAACTGATGTTTCTGATGCTGCAGGTAGTGTCAAAGCTGCCAGACTGGTGGCTGAGGTTGAAGGAGCTGCGATAGAAGAATCTAAAGATGATAGTAGAAAATTGTTTGCTACCACAGAGACAGATGAGAAATCAGCAAAAGTCTCTGATGAGGAGCATCATGTTCTGATGACTGCCAGTGTGGAAATAGAATCAAGGAAGGCGGCAAGAGAGGAAGAAGAGGAAGAAACTGAAAGTGCTACAGAGAGTGACACTGGTTCTGTGGGATCAGTGGTTGGAGTTGATGTGGACACAACTGTGCAGAGCCAGAAACTGCGGAAGCAAGAATCCAAGGAGAAAGATGACACGGAGGAAGAGGCAAAACAGGCTGCCTTGGCAAGGGCTGAAAGACTGGTGGAGAAGGTTGATTTACCTAGCAACAAAACAGTTGATGCTGAAGAGTTGCTTGATGCCAAGAAGAAAGCTGATTTACTGGATAGAAAGGAAGTTGATACAGATGAGGTGAAAGTTGATGAGAAACAAATAAATGATCATGATAAGAAAACATATGATGATAAGGATAAAGATGGTTTTGATGAGGAGGAAGTTGATTCTGAAGTTACCAGACAGTTTGAGACTGATAGTGATAAGAAATCTGAAGTTCGGGAGAAGACTAAGGATGTTGATCTTAAGAAAAGTGTTGATGAACAGAAAGAAGATAAAGGTGAGGACGAGAAGTTTGATGATCTTGGGGATGTAAGTACAAGAGGAGATGACACTAAAGACACAGACAGTGTAGATGGTGTGAGAAAACGCAGAACTAGAGGAGAGAGAGATGTGGATAAGTTCAAGGAGAATGAGATAAATGAGGAGGAGACAGTTGAACAGACAGGCATCTGGATTAAGAAAGTTGAAGAAGAAAAGGACAAAGACAAAGCAGAATATAAAGAAGCTGAGGATGCTACATCTAAAGGAGGTGACAGAGGGGATGAGCTATCTCATTCGGAGCCTAGGATTCTGCACAAGATGGAGGACACTACAGTGGAAACTGGGAAAACCCTGAAACTTCGAACCCAGGTTACAGGTAAGCTAGATCTGGTTTGTCTTGTGATTAATTATCCAGTTTTCAGTTTCTGTTTTGTTGATTGCTTGATAAAGTTAGTTATTCCTTTGCCATGAAAAAGGTCCATCAGTGCACACCAGTTCTTGTATACATGGCATCCCACCAGGCATATGATGCTCGACCCATACAGACTGATTTGAAAACTTAATGGTCAACAACAAGCTGGCTTCCTCCTCAGCTTCCCTGGAATATTTACATCAATTGTATGCTGGGTTGACCATGGAAGCCTGTCATTTACACAAACTTGTCTTGATGAAGCACGTGTGTGCACATGTTTGCATATGTTTGTCTGTCTCTTTGCCCATCCATCCATCCATCCATCTGTCTGTCCATCTGCCTGTCTGTCCACCCATCCATCTGTCTGTCTATCTGTCCATCCATCCATCTGTCTGTATGTCTGCCTGTCTGTCTGCCTGTCTGTCTGCCTGCCTGCCTGCCTGTCTGTCTGTCTGTCTGTCTGTCTGTCTGTCTGTCTGTCTGTCTGTCTGTCTGTCTGTCTGTCTGTCTGTCTGTCTGTCTGTCTGTCTGTCTGTCTGTCTGTCTGTCTGTCTGTCTGTCTGTCTGTCTGTCTGTCTGTCTGTCTGTCTGTCTGTCTGTCTGTCTGCCTGCCTGCCTGCCTGCCTGCCTGCCTGCCTGCCTGCCTGCCTGCCTGCCTGCCTGCCTGCCTGCCTGCCTGCCTGCCTGCCTGCCTGCCTGTCTGTCTGTCTGTCTATCTGTCAGAATGAATACATGCAATCCCAAAACTGTCAGACCTGACATTCCACTTATGCCATATTCAGACCAAGGAGAACATTGAGGAGGAAACTAGTCTTGTGCAACCTGATAACTTAATAATTTAGCAGGGCAGACTGAACTTTACCCTTGGTTGGCAGCTGGTCTAGGAGGGAAGCTCTGTCAGGTCAACAGGCAGTGTACTGCTCTTCAGATCCATCACCTTCTGCACCATGTTTTGTTTCAAACATGTTGGTGTTGCCTTTCTGTTGGAGTAAACAAGGCTGCGATAGGGATCATGCTGTATGATCTCTGTGATACTGACCAGGCTTTTTACAATGGAGAAAAGGAACTTCATACATGACCTTAATTGGCTGTGATTCACTGCGAATAGTCTTGTTTCTAATTATTTTTTAAGCCCATTTTTAGTTTTAATTTATCATTCTAAATGTTTGGATTTTTTCTAAACAGCTTCTCCCAAACCTGATGTAACTTGGTCCAAGGATGGAAAAGTCTTGAAAGAAGGAGGAAGAATCACCCTTGTTACAGAGGATGATCTGTACAGCCTAGAGATTGAGGAGCTGAGAGAGACTGATGCAGGGACATACAGGCTTACAGCTGTCAATTCTCTAGGGGAAGTCTTTTCAGATGTAGCTGTCAGTGTTCAGTCATCTCTGGATTCTGGTGATAGGGAGTTGAGGTAGTGCTTTTCGGATCTGTTCTGTCTGTATGCATTGTAGGACACAGTGTGTTGTGTGTGGATGTTGGGGTATGTCATGATTTGTGTATGGATGGTGGGGTCTGTCATATGTTGTGTGGGAATTTTAGGGTATGCCATGTTTTGTGTATGGATGTTGGGGTGTCCTATTTTGTGGTATGTCATATATTGTGTGTGGATGTTGGGGTATTTCATGTGATGTATGTGGATGTTGGGGTATGTCATGTGTTGTGTGAGCGTGTTAGGACATGGTGCATTGTTTATATGAACCTTGTGGTACATCTTATTTGAGTGTGGAAGTAAGCAGTTTGTTGTCTGTGAATGTTGGGATATGTCCTGTGGTGGGTATAGGTGTTTAAAAAAGCAGTTTGTTGAGTGTGAATGTTGGGATATGTCTTGTGTTGTGTGTAAATGTTGGAGGTTTAAAATTTATTTAAGGAGTGTTTTAGTATACAGTATGTTGTGTGTGGGTTCTGGGGTGTGCCATATGACATGTGTGGCCATACGTTGTGTGAGTGGATTCTGGGGTGTGCCATATGACGTGCGAATATTGGGGTATGTCGTGTGTTCTATATGGGTGTTGGGGTATGTCATGTGTTGTGAGTGGGAGTTATGGGAGGCAGTGTATTGTATACGGGTGGTAAAATAATCAGTTTGTTGTGTGTTAATGTTGGTTATGTCATTGTTGTATGAGTGTGTGTTAGTAATACGTATCTTGTATGTAAATGTTGAGGTAAGCAGTAAGTTGTATGTGTGAGCATAGAGGTAAGCAATCAAATTGGGGTGTTGAAATTATGAAACCCTGTTCATAAACCCTAAACCACAGCTACCAACAGTCATCAGGACACTTTTTACCCATAAATTATCATTTACTGTAACATATACATTTATCAATAAACAATATCATCATCAAGTTAAATGTCTTTTCATCTATCAGATCACAACTGATCAACCATATTGAGGCTAACATGAGAGTCTTTTACCAGTGATCTGCCACATAAGCTCTCAACTAACTCACAGCAAGCCATTCTGTTTTTGCCATGTCCGTTCTGCAACTTCTTAAACAGGATACGCAAATTAGTTTTTCTAATTCCTTCTCTGTCTACTTTTTTATCTGCATTTATTTCTTTGACCTTATAGTTCCAATGCAAAGGCATTCTAGTTGTATTATCGTCAGGTTTTCTCAGTATTTGTTGTATCCATGCCACATTCTTCTTCTTCCTCTACTGCCCTTTATTCCCCAAATGGAGCATAATCCTTCAGTAAGGTCAGGTCATCTTTTCCTTTGCGACTGCATGCAGCTCACCTCATATCCTCCCTATCTTTAACTTTATCCTCTAGTTCCATTCTCCTGATGTTTTTTGTTCTCCCTTTATTTCTATTCGCCTGTGGGCTCTAGTTCTGTTTGTATTGTTCTTTAGTTTCTTCAGCTTATGTCTTTTCCAATGCTGGCATCGTTTCTTCACCTCTCGATTCAATGCCACATTAAAGTAAAAAAAAAAAAAAAGTAAAGGACCCTGTTCCAAGCCTTTAGGCGTATAGGGCATATAGGGCTAGACCTATATTTTATAGACCAATCGGCACAAGAAGGGTGATGTGGTCAGCATAACGTCCAATGCCACATTACTCATCTCTAATTCTCTTCTTTGGGTGATTTTATTTTTTCCCTCTATCCTTCTCTGGGTTCCCATGCAGTGACTTTCTGATTATTCTGTTGTCTGGTTTTCTCAGTAAAACCATCTATAATGTTTGGGTTATTTCATGCAGACTGAATAGACCGAGTCGTTGCTATCCATATCAAGATGTGTTAACTTAGTAGAAACAATGTCATTACTGGAATTGAAAATAGTTGTATCATAGTATACTCTTTTTTGTTTCAGTTTGACTGCTACAGTAGGAATGCCTCAATTCTTGATTCAACCCCAGGATGTCAGTGTGGCAGAGTCGGAGACTATCAAATTGACTTGCAAGGTTGCAGGTAATTTCTTAGTACAGCTGTTTCTCTGTTATCTTTGAAACAAGACATCACTACTCATCATCTGATGCAGCTGTACTTTTTTTTGTTTTTGTTTTGTCACTACAGCTGCTTTTCTTTGGTCTTTGAAACAAGATATCTCTACTCTTGATTTGTAAACTAAAGTAAAGCAATGATTAAAGAAAGACTTGTCAATTACTTTTGTCCTTTTTGATGTAAAATTGTTATTATCAGATAAGTATTTTATTTACCAGTACGAAAATTGTTCTGTAGCATCATCTGCCTCATTGTCCCATATTTTTTTTTTAACAGGTTACAATTTGAAAGACTCTTAGTCCTTGTGTCAGTTCTTATGCATCACTTGTTGCCATTTCAATGTTTTTATGATGTCTTGATTGTTTGCTGTCTTATATTTCATCATTTATTAGATTTGTTGCACTGTATCATTAAGACTGATTTAGAACATCCAGTTTTGACTGACATTTATCTTGGCTTTTGTTTTCTAGTCCTAGATTACTAATCTAGGGTCAGTTTTGTGTGTATCCCCGCATCTTGTCCGTGTATCTTGACTGGTCCATCAAAGGTAGACTCTGCATGGGGGTTTAACTTTTTCTGTAGATTCTCTCAACAATGAAAATTGGGTGCAACACTGAGGTCAGAGTTATATTTATTCTGAGTTGATTCTAGAAGTATAATTTCTAGATGTGTTTTTCAAATAGTGATGTAAACTGTAGTTATGTATTGCAGCCGAATTACTGTTGAAGTCATTGTCTATCTTGAACAGGAGATCCTACTCCAAAACTATCTTGGGAGAAAGATGGCCAGGTGGTCAGGTCTAACCGTCGTGTACGTGTGTATGAGTCCCGTGGTTTGTACAGCCTAGAGATCCACGACTGTGAAGCCGAAGATGCTGGCGAGTACCTCTGTATAGCAGTCAACAGCCGAGGTCAGGTCACGGCTTCTGTCAACGTGATCATCGAAGGTGAGTACTGTTTTATGTGTTCAGAGAGATAGATACTAACAACTGGGGGTTGAAGGGGCACAGAGAAACCCAGAAACCTGTTAGACAGAGGAGTTGGTTTGGAGGTTTTTACTTTTGCTCAGCAAAAATGGGCATGTTGCAGATTTGAGTGCAAGACCTTAAGGCTGGCAGGCAAGCATCTAACCACTATGAGAATAGCTCTCCATCAAAAAAGTATACTAAGGGAATTTTTAGCTCTAATATCCATTGTTTTTTCTCCAGCCTTTTATTTCCCAAAAGCTCACATCCAACTTGCACCAAGTTGGACAGGCCTGCCTCATGTTTCTAGAACCAAGTCTGCCTTCCATTAGTGAAGTTTGTAAACTACTTCAACATTTGATGTTGTCAAAGTGCTGCAGTTTCTTAGACCAGTGTGAAATGTAATGGTCTTTTCCCACAATCCATTTACACACTGTACACATGGTGCTGGACCTGTAGTTTTATAGATAAGTCAGCACTCAGTGGGTGAAGTGGTAGTATCACACATGCCACCTTTACTTCCCAGGACCAGATCATAGAAATCATGTAAAAATAAGTGAATGTTTTGTAGCAGAGAAATAAAGTATGACTTCTTTTCTACTATCAGGAGTTGAACGAGTGATGTCGGTCTCTGAGCCTGGAGAGCCAGAGGGAGACCTAGCCAGACCTGAAGAAGAGACAGTTGCAGGAGCTACAGGAGGTGCAGCAGAGTCATCATCTGATGTATGTAGTAGGTCTGATTCCCGCACGGTTAGATACCTCAAGCTGATTGGCATGGCTGCTGCATTCTCACTGGCTGCTTTAGGTGTTAAAAAAGTCATGGATAACTTAACCAAATGAATTGTGCATGTAATTCTGTTTTGTTGTTGGTGCATCTTGTTGCCTTTTTATTTGTCTGGTTAAGTTATTAATTCAATTTAGCTACTGTCTTGATTATTAGGACTGTTTGTCAGAATGTGGTTTTTACCTTGTTAGGTATGATTATTTTTATAATTGTTGTTGTTTTCACTATTTATTGTTTCACTATTTTTATGTTGGGTAAGTTTTAACTATTTTGCCCCTTAAAATTCTTTTAAACAATGACCTTTTTCAAAATTTCGTTAAAAATAAATATCCTTATAATTCTCCAAAACCCTGTCCTGAGAAACTAGAGGAAGAGAGGAAGAACCAGAAGAAATATCAAGTCTTGGGCAGTTTTCATAAATTTCTAGCGGGACAACTGAGCAGACAAACAAGTGTGAAGTCCACAGCTGTATTGTGGCCGTCAAAGGACTAAAATACTTCAAATTAATGATTATTATTATTTTTGTGCAAAACCACAATTTTTAAGAAAGGGAATTAATCACTAACTACAAACAGAGCAAAGAATTGACTGCTTTCCTTCCATTTTTTGCTGACTTAGGAGAGGCACAGTGACATAAAATGAGATCATTATGCTGTAGTCATGATGGCACAATTTTTTTTTTTTACATGTAGTTTTGTATTACCGCTAAAAATATTTTTTTAAACAAAATATTTTTGGACATATATCATTATAAAAACTATGTCTATGCATTCACACTGAGGAACAAAGGACAGAAGAAAAACAAAACTGGTAATGGTCCTTAGTTTTGCAGTAGGTAATAGAACTAAACAGGCTTCGGTGGACCAAGAGGTGAGGAAAAGACGCTGGCGTTGGATAGGACACACACTGAGAAAACAGGAGAACAGCATAACTAGAATGTCTTTGCATTGAAACCCACAAGGGCATAGGAATAAAGGAAGGCCAAAAAACACATGGAGAAGAGAGCTGGAGAATAAGGTTAGAAAGATGGGGATAGCTCCATGCAATGGCGAAGGATAGAACGACTTGGCGTGAGTTGTTTGGGGGCCTATGCTCCATTGGGGGATAGAAAAGCAGAAGAAGAAGAAGAAGAAGTGCATAATTCTTAATTGATTGACCACCTTTGAAATTTAATTAAATTAAAAAAACAGGTAATACACCTTGTCTAAATTTGTTTATTTTTGTATATTTATTAACAGCTACCATTGTTAAGTGCTATTCTTTCTTCCTAGCCATGTCTTTGGTTACAAGTTCAGTAATTTCGTTCATTTATTAACTAATATCTCACTGTGCTAGGTTTAGTTGCAATTTGTGTGCCCTAACAAACTTTCTTGACAGGTATGTTTGTGGGCATATGCATTTTCAGGCATGTTTTCACACATTCCAAGTTGTGCTATTTCATTCGTTTGTTACAAAGTGTATGAATCTTTTGTTTTGCTTTAATGTATTTTGATTTTTGATTAGCTATTTATTCATTGGGCAAGAGGCCTTCTTAGTGGCACATAGGGCAAATGGCCCAAATAGTGGTGCATTTGACGAGAGAGCTTCAAAGCGGTGCATGGGATGAGAGGCCTACATATAGTAGTGCATGGGATGAGAGGCCTACATATAGTAGTGCATGGGATGAGAGGCCTACATATAGTGGTGCATGGGATGAGAGGCCTACATATAGTGGTGCATGGGATGAGAGGCCTACATATAGTGGTGCATCAGATGAGAGGCCTACATATAGTGGTGCATGGGATGAGGGGCCTACATATAGTGGTGCATCAGATGAGAGGCCTACATATAGTGGTGCATGGGATGAGAGGCCTACATATAGTGGTGCATGGAATGAGAGGCCGACATATAGTGGTGCATGGGATGAGAGGCCGACATATAGTGGTGCATGGGATGAAAGGCCTACAGGGTGGTGCATGGTGAGAAGGGCCTACGTGGATTTACTTTTCAATGTCTGATCAAGTCTTTCCATTCATGGCAAACAGGTGTGCTGGACTGGATATTTACATATGTGAGGCATATCTGGTCAGCCAGGTTTTAGATCCCGACCTTACTTTACATGTCTCATCTCCTCTTTCCTTGTACCAAGCCTTGTAGTATTGCTGGTAGATATCATTACATGTCGAACCATTGCATTTTATGTCTTTTAAAAATTATTGTTCAGCCTACACTAATTTCCAATTGGGGTCAGTGGGAAAATGAACAACCTATGTCTGATCCATAAATATCCATTCCGTGGATTGTCGCAGACAAGTCTGAATTAGAGGTTGAAATCATACCTCTTAGTCACATTGCTTCTTTCCTGTTTGTACTTTGTCAGTAAGATTATCTGCTCCTGTCTGCCTCTGTGTATATCAGATGATATGCTTAGGTCAGCCATTTTGTTTTTTGCGATAATCTGCACATATTTGCCTGTTTGCATTTTTTCCATGGGTTTATCTGCTGATGTCTGCCTATTTGTAATTTATCAGTGAGATTATCTGCTCATTTCTGAATCTTTGTATGTTCACAAATAAACCAGGTTTGTAAAACTGGAGCAAGACCAGTGTCTGGAAGTAGATGAAAACCCAGAACTTTTCATGGATATTTACAGCTGGTGCACACTAGGAAGAAGAAGGGGAATTACTCTTGCACATTTTATACATACTCTTGTGTATACTGTTTTATATATGGTAAATTATAATGAGAATAAAATACTCATCCTTGTTCTGCTAATTTAAAATAGGTCTGTAAGTATATGTTCTGTGAATTTTAACCATGTGTCCAGACCTCCAATGTTCAACCCCACTAACGAGTGACAAACACTTTAGTGACATTCAACCCCACTAACGAGTGACAAACACTTTAGTGACATTCAACCCCACTAACGAGTGATAAACACTTTAGTGATGTTCAACCCCACTAACGAGTGATAAACACTTTAGTGACGTTCAACCCCACTAACGAGTGATAAACACTTTAGTGACGTTCAACCCCACTAATGAGTGATAAACACTTTAGTGACGTTCAACCCCACTAACAAGTGATAAACACTTTAGTGACGTTCAACCCCACTAACGAGTGATAAACACTTTAGTGACGTTCAACCCCACTAACGAGTGATAATTACTTTAGTGACGTTTAACCCCACTAACGAGTGATAAACACTTTAGTGACGTCAAACCCCACTAACGAGTGATAAACACTCTAGTGACGTTCAACCCCACTAACTAACCTGAATGATGTGTCCATGAAAGCATGAGGGAAAACACTCTCTAGTAGATCAGTGAACAACCTATTGGTTCTGACAGTCATATAAAATGACTTCTGTGGTTATTCAGAAAAGTCTTTGAGTGACTCATTAGTTCCCATGTGGATTCCTGGGCCTCATTGTGGGGAAAACAAGAATAGACCCACTGCCTCTCCAACAAGCATGTTGTAGGAGTCGACTAATTGGGGGCTTCCTTCAAAGTACATCTGCCTCAGAGGAAGAAACCAATAGTCTGCATACAAATAAGCCAGATCTGTAAAAATAGATTTGCATGCAACATTCAAGTACTGGAACAAGATTGTAGTCTGGAGGTGGACGAACAACCAGAACTTTCCGCCAGTGAAAGTGGAGAAGCAGAAAAAGACGAAGGCTTGTTAGCTGTCTCATTAGTCATCTTCGTGTATCAAAATCTTCTCAGAACATCTCTCTGTTTCAGTCAGTCATGTGTCATCTCCACAGTAAAAGTCAGCTACAGTGAATCTCCAACACACTCCGTCTCTCACCCTGGTTGTTCATTCTTCTACTTGCTCTTCTCATTCACTCAGCTGTAAACTCCGGCAAAAAGTTATGGTTGTTCACCCACTTCTGGACATTAGTCTTGTTCCAGAACCTGAGTGTTGTTTGCACATCTGTTCTACAGATCTGACTTATTTGTATGCAGATTGTTGGTTTCTTGCCTCTTAGGCACATGCACTGACTGAAGGCAGCCCCCAATTATCATATGTTGGAAGGAAAGGCAATGGGTCTATTCTTGTTTTTCACACAGTGGGGCCCTGGAACCCACACAGGGGAGGTTGTCCATTCTGACAGACTGATATTTGTCATCTTGATGTTATCTTATTACTTGTGTTGCCACGATTCTGTAGTGGCTAGACACGTTCTTGCTGTCCCCTCTAAAGTCTTGGATTCGACTTTAAAAAAAAATAGACCTTGGCTTCCAGGTCGATGATGTCAATGGACAAAAATCCCAGCTTTGAAGAGATGCAGCTGCTATTGCATTTGTATCATGGGGGAAAAAATGTAAGAGTAGGTAATAATTGTATATCTTAATATTATTATTAATATCCTATTATTTCTTATCTAATTATTTATATATCTAAATCATAATCACAGGTAAATTTAATACCAGTATATATTATATCATAGATCTGATGAGTAAGTGACGTTCAACCCCACTAACGAGTGATTAACACTTCGTTGTACTAGGGCTACCGACAACAGCTGGGGTGGGGGCTTTGAAATGAAAAAAATAAAAACAAATTGCGTCCCATTTTAAGGTGACCTTTTTATGCTTTTGAACCTGGGATTATATAGATCTGATATATTTTTGTACATAGTTAAAACATTATACACTAGCTGCTATATGGTACATATGTTATACTTCTATACCTGTTACGTCATAAACGTATAAATCAGTCAGGTATCGTCTTTATAAGGAAGCTTGGTGGCAGTATATCTCCAGTATTGTCTCTCTTTCTCTCTCTTTCTCTCTCTTTCTCTCTTTCTCTCTCTTTCTCCTTGTTCTGTTCATAAACTTTCTCAGACTGCTGCTCATCCATTTTATTTTGCTTGCGTCCCTTTAACTCAGCCGGCCAGTCATAAACATAAATTAAGGAATCATTTTTTTTTAAATGAAAAACTATTTTGTGA